TACTCTTATAAATGCAGTCTTTCGTGAAAAACGGAGCCGCTCATACAAAGAGAAAAAAAGAAAAAAATCACTGTGTTTCATCTTGGACAAATCTGACATTACAATGCCCTGGTTTACTCTTTTTAAAGTCCTTTTTGGTCGCACACCGGTCTGAGCACCGCAGCCACCAACAGCAGCTACCGCAGCCTGCTATGTGGGGCATTTTGGGAACATCGTAAATTGTAGAGTCTATCCATCAGAAAATGTTCAGCAAGTCATATGTTTTGCCTGTGACAAGGTGAGAAGTGTGAATAAATAAGAAAGTTGGTCGCACCGGTAAAAAAAAAGTTAGTCTGGAGTCCTTTGTGGACTTCCGTGTGGCATGAGTGTTGTTTGTTAAAAGGCTATGTATGCAGTGATGTATGGCATGGCTCTGACTTGGCTCCTTGACAATAGAAAAGCAACCATTTCTTAGGAGGTGTGAGATTGGAACCAACTAAGCACTGGAACTAGCACCTGGTTCTTCTTGGTGGAAAAGGGGTAATTGACTGATTGTCCACTGATTTAAACTCAACTTTTTGGCAAGGAACAACACAGGTTTGGGTTAGCCTCACTAGGTTTTTTTTTTTTTTAGAACACATGGGCTTAGTGTGACCTTCTTACCCACAAAGGTAACAGGTGGGTGTTTTGTTAGCTGATTGGGATGATGGATTTTATTGCTGATTTTCTCTTGTAGTGGGTTTACCCAAACCTGTTGCTGACCTCTGGTGGTACTGGGAGGGTGGTGACCTGTGGGCATCCTTCACAGCCTTCCATGCTGTGTTACTCTATGGCTAATGCCTCTTCTGTGCAAACACAAACACATCAGCCAGAGTAACAACTTCAGCAGCTGATTGATGCTCCTTTATCTAAACCTGAAGCTCAGGGGATAACATTCTCAAGAATTATTATTATTTCCTCAATTTCTTGTATTGTTTTTCCTTTTGATTGAATCCATTTCCCATATAGCTCTTTCAGCTTTGCATAGAGTTCCTTTGGGCTCTCTCCAGGATCAATGTCTCTGACTGTAAATCTCTGGATTAATGTCATATTTTTCAATATTCCAGCCTTTTCATTGGTCATACTCAAGTTTTTTTAATCTCTGCCCAGTTTCCTTTTTTTGTTCAATCCTCCCTGCTGCATGGCTCAAGAAAAGGAGTGGAAGGGAATGAAATATGGGGGAAAGGGGTGAAAAAAAACAAAGCAAAACAAAAATAATCTGCATCCTCACCCAGCTATTCCCACTGCTGCCACCATATGGGAGGGAATAAGTTGCAAAGTATGAGGACTCACAGGTGGATTCAAAAATAGAATTTTAATTTAAACCCAAAAATAACAAAGTTACAAAAACTAATAGTAAATTCTGAAAGAGGTCAAAAGAACAGAACCTAACTAAGACTATGAGCTCTAAACAGACCTCAAAAACACTGAAAAACAAGAGGATATATACTGACTGATCAGACCAGACACACACAACAGGGGGAACACAGGGGAAAGACATATACGTACACTTGACACCCTACTAGGAAAAGAACTCCAGTTCTGTTCTTGTGAGGGAAACACCAGGTGCACTGTATGAGAGTTTTGAAAATCCTTCTGTGTGATGATGTAGTTTTCATCCCTGTCCATCAAATAGATCCTCACATTGTACAAAGTGGATTTGTGAGGTAAAACACTCCAATCCCTTCCAGTGTGATCTCAGGTGCAAGGGTCAAATGTATGTAAACCCAAACAGTGCATTTCCACAGTGATGAAATGGATTTGTCTAGAGGCTAACGTGCCTTAATCCCTTCAAAGCGATCCTTCTGGATTTGAACAGCCATGCCATATAATTGGGAGAAGAAACTGAGCTGTGTTTTCCTTATTCACAGGCGCCCCAGCCTGTGTTCTCATGATTTTCATGTGTTGAGTGTTAGTGCTCAACTTGCCTGAAGCTAATAGATTAGCCATTTACCAGCAGGCCCTTGTACTCTTTTCATGTCAAACCAATGAGTTACTTCTGGCTACTTTTTCTATCCTTTTGCTTTACCTTCACAGAGTCCTATGCTTTACTTTCTCTCTGTCCATGGTCATTAGATCAGATTAGATTACGTTAGATTGCACTTTATTTTTCCACCACAAATGGGAAAACTCACTTGTTGCAGCAGAGTATGGATACAGAGCACAAAATATAAAGAGCACAAGAAAAGTGACAGGAAGAAAAAAAGAACAAATAAACTATAAATAGGAAGAGCTGAGAAATGTAAAGCAATAGAGCTACACACACACACACACACACACTAAAAATCCATATAGTGGATACAATGAACTTAAAAAATATAAAAGATAAATAAAATAGAATAAAATATGGTACAATATAATTATTGCACACAGGGGAGATAAATTGCACACAGTAAGGGAGTATATTGCACGTGAGAAAAACCTGGGTACAATATTTTATATTATACAAGATGGAGGGAAGAACTACAGCATGTTGTTGTAGATTCTGACAGCAGTTGGGATGAAGGACCTGCAGTAGCTCTCCTTCCTACACCATGGGTGGATCAGTCTGCTGCTGAAGGAGCTGCTCAGAGACCCCACAGTGCCATGTGGGGGGTGAGAGGTGTTGTCCATGATGACATCCTCCTCTCACCCACCTCCTCTATGGAGTCCAGCAGACAGTCCAGAACAGAGCTCACTCTCCTGATGAGTCGCTAGCACCTCACATGAAAATTCTACAGAAAATCACAATGATATGATAAAACTAGAATTTACACCTTGCAGTTGTATACCTTCACCAATCAGTTAAATTGCAGGTTATTTCAACTCATAAAATGTATGAACTAAAGACTTTGAAGTGTGTAATTTCACTGAGAGAAACAAAACCTAAATTTAAATAATTGTATGTGTTTGCATACTTGGCAAATACAGCTCATCCTAATATTTGCAGAATTTGCTGCAAAGAAGTGAGAAATTCTATCACATAGATGCCTCACACACTTTCATTGCAGCAGCACAGGTAACCTGCACAGTCACCAAAGTTTAAAGATGTCTCCCAAGATCAGTGTTACCAATCATTGTAAAATATGGTCACAATCTCCTTTTCTGATTCTGAGTTATAGTGTTGAATATTGGCCAGAAATGTACTTTTGAAGAACATTACGCTGCCACAGTGAAACTGATACTTGATGTCTTGGGTATAAAATTTAAAAAATCTGAATTGCTTCATTATTTTATCCTATCAGACATTTGTATGAAATTCTGTCATAATTGGATGAAATCTTGAGTTAGGTCCAAAAATGTGTTTGGTGGGTTCACATTAACCCTTGACCTCCAAAATTAGTTCATCACTGGGTGCAAGTTCACATTTATACCACAGAGCCATTCCCTTAAGGTGCTTCTGAGATATCACTAAAGCTGAACTCATTTCAGCTGCTTGTATCCACCATGTCATTCCTTTGGTCACTACACAGAGTTTATGACCATGGGTCAGGGAAGGAAGACACTGACATAGCTTCAAATCATGTTGCTCTGTAACTGCAGGATGTGGAAATAACTGTTTCCACTGTTCAAGACCTCAACGTGACACTGGAGCAGCATCTCTGGGTTACTTTCATCCACACCTACTGCCTTGATACTCACTAAGGAGCATCTTTACTACTTCAGTGACCTCTGCCAGACATACGGGTAAACACTGTAAGCACAACTAGTGAATCTTCAGGAGGTGATTTAAGTGAAGTGGTAGAATATTCCTTGTTCCTCTTTGGTGTTAAGCAAGCATATCTGTCATATTCCTGCATTGCATTTCCCAGAATTCCAGTTTAATATTTACATGATGTTTAAGAAATCAGCTTACAGTAGAAAGCCAACTTTAACCTGGATACTGAAGTTCATGTAAAAACACTGGCTGTCACGGCCTTCTTTGGACACTCAAATAGAACATTATTAATGTTATTAATAACACCTCAGTTTGTAGTGTTACAGAAGTCAAAATGCCTTCTGGGACAAAAAAAAAAGCACAACTTTTTTTTTTTTTTTTTTTAAACATGCTGTGTGTTTAATGTGAACCTTTGAATCAGTCTGTATAGAAACTACTACCCCGACCTTATTACCATACAACCATTTTAAAAGGCCTGATTAAAGAACTTTGATGTTATTGTGAAATAATAAAGGTTATCACAGCTTGGGTTTGTGTAACAAATCTGGGATGTAAAGCTTGGGCATTTACAAATGAAAATAATGTCTAGCTGAATTATCTGAAACATGATTTGTCAGCTTAGATTTTGACAATTCATGTCTTTTTTGAGGGGCTGCAGGGTGGCGCAGTTGGTAGCACTGTTGCCTCGCAGCAAGAAGGTTGCCGGTTCGCATCCCGGTGGGGGCACCGGATCCTTTCTGCGTGGCAGCGTGGGTTCTCTCTGGGTTCTCCGGCTTCCTCCCACTCAGTCCGTAAGTGTAAGTGTCTCTAAGTGTAGCCCTGTGATAGACTGGTGACCTGTCCAGGGTGTCCCCTGCCTTCTCCCTAAGTTGGCTGGGATAGGCTCCAGCCCCCCACGACCCTAGTGAGGATTAAGCGGTGTATAGATAATGGATGGGATGCATGGATGTCTTTTTTGAGTGTCCCATCTTTATGCAATAACATATCGCTGGAACATATTTTTTTAAATTCGGGTGTCTGTGGCTCAGGTGGTAAAGCAGTTGTCCTCTAATCACAAGGCTGGTGGTTCGATCCCCTCCACAGTGGAAGCGTCCTTGGGCAAGACACTGAACCCAAAGTAGACCAAGGCAGCACCTTGCACGGCAACTCTGTCACCATTGGTGTATGAATGAATGGGTGAATGAGAGAACACTGCAAACATGTGTTTGCTTTGAGTACCACTAAGGTAGCTATGTAAGTGCAGACCATTTAATTCATAGACTGACGAGGAAATGTGCAGTTCTTCCAAAATCAAAAGCACAGCACAATACTGACAAAGGTCAACTGATATTGAAAAAAAAAAACATTTACTGTGAAAACAGATGTCTTTATTGAATTGATATATTTCAGAAGTGTTTGTGTGGGTATCATCTGATGTAGATGGGGCTCTGCTTGAAGTCCAGTGAGTGCAAGGCAGTGGCCAGCGCTGCATACAGGTGAGAACTGCTGAACCTCAGGCAATACACTGGGCTGCTCACAAGGTCAGAGGTCAGTTGGAAGAACTATACAGGAAACAAAACATGAGATACATGACAATACAACAGCAACAAGTTAAATATCTGGCAATTAGCTATTCCAAACATTTCTTTCAAAAATGTGTGGTACTGTGTCTAATTGATCTATCTCAGCATATCATAGTATATATCACAGCCATGTGCTTCATTCTCAAAATACACTGTACGTACCTGTAGGCATTTAGTCTGCCGTTTGTCCCAAAGACGTACAACACCGTAATATGAAGAACCGCTGGCTATCATGTGATTTCCGTCCGTCTGGATGCAGTACAGAGTGCTGTCATGGGGCTCCTCCCACTCCATCACACAGGACCTGCTGGGAAGCATAGGAGACTTTACACAGGTATTGAGGTAAACATTTTTATTTACATTTGTTTTGCACATGTGATTGAACTTGTGAATGTTCTAAAAAGACATGTAAAAAAACAAAATCAAAACCAAGCTGGGTTTAAGATGGCTGTTCCCTTGAAAAATCTCAGTCAGTGTTGTAATACACAGTAAAAAGCCCGTTCAGTGTGTGCAGTTTAACCGTATTTCTTATCTCTTCATTAGAGCAAATTATGCTTTGTGAGTTCATTTAATGGAGCTCTGCCATGTTCTGTTCATTTTGCAGCTCGTTTTAAAAGTGAACTATTCTTAGTTTCAAGTTTTTTTCATCCCTTGTCAGATTCAATTATACTTTGTAAATTGTATATCTTACAGACCACTATTATTAAAACAGTGATTGTTCTGTTAATTGTGTGCTCCTGTACACTGGATTTCACACAAAACAATATCTGTTTCTTCCTCACTATTGTGGGTGCTTGTGTGTGTGTGTGTGTGTGTGTGTGTGTGTGTGTGTTCCACATCTCTCCTCTGCTATCTGTCTCCAATCATCTCCCTGATCCATGAAGACTGGCTCAGACCTTCATTCTCTGCCAGACAGTGACTCAGTCAGGAACCTTGTCTGTCAGCTCAGGCTACGTAATCTGTTAGTTTGTTAAAGCTCTGTCGTAAACTACGTTTGCTCTGTTTCCAGTATTCCCAAGTGGAATTCCCTCTCTTCAGGAAACCCCACTCAGACCACCTGCCTGCCCTGCTGTTCTAACCTCCACCAGTCTCCACTCAGCACCAGTCTACACCTCACAAATTCTGACTTCTTTCCCCAGACCTTGACCCCCAAGCTAAGTTGTTAGCCTAGCTGTGTCCCTGTATCCTGCCAGTCTTTCCCGTTGTTAGCTTAGCCGGCCTCTGTTTTCTACCTGATAGCTATAGTTCTTCAGATTACCTGCCATTTATTCAGTGCTGTTCTGTGCTGCTGACTCCAAGTATGGCTGCTAGTGGCGGCTCAGGCTGTAGCCAGCTCGCCTCTTGTCTGCACAGTGCCGCTGGCCTTGGCCTGCTGCTCTGCTACCACCTTCCCTGATCCTTCTGGCAGTTTCCACGTAGTCTAGTTTAATCCTGTAGCCTAGTCCTTTGTGTTTTGTAATTCTAATTCAATCGTTACTGTAGTGAACTCCTTTACTTGTAGTGATCTTCCTGTGATTTGTGTTTGCATTTCGGTTTTCTGTGTGGTCCTAAAAACACATTTTTGAATCTAAGGGGACACCATTACAATTATTAAAGTGAATAATTGAGTATTTACAGTAGCTATAGTTTATGTGGTGCATTGAAGTCATCAGGTTGGAATTAACTTAGTTCCTTGTATTTCCAGCCCTGACCTCCTTGGAGCCCTATATGCAAGATTGTGCTGTGAGCTCTCCTGCCTTACTCATCAGTCATGTCAGTGTCTGTATACAATAAACAATATTTAATGTATAGAATATATTCTATGTGATAACATAAGTAAACAATAACAAACTGTAAGACGTGTGGAAAATAAAACACTGAGCTTTGGCTCTGCTTCCTGGTAAATAGTCCAGTCCCCATGTTATACTGGAGTTGCAACTCAACTTTATAACTATTTAATTATTTTTTCTATGATATGCACTCATAAAGTTTGCCATCACACCCATATACCATCTGTGTCAGCCCCAAAGAGGTTGCTGCTTTCAAGCACAAGTTTCATTTTGTGCACATGCATGTGAGCCCTTGTATACTGCAGTTTATAAACTGGGGCATTTATCAGCTGTAATCAATTGTTTTTTTTACTCATTTTTGTCAGGCACAAAGAAATAGAAAATCCCTGAAGAGGCTGCAAACAAGCGAGTCACAGACAGGCCAAGCAATTCCCTGCCCAGGTAGGTTAGGCAGAGACTGAGGAAAGATGCGCTTCAAGCTTACAGCAATATTTCTGTATAATTGTCAAACCAGTGAACTTTGAAAGAAAAAGAAAATAAGAGACTGTGAATTATGCTTGCATAGTGTCCTCAGAAGGTGGAGGTACGGGTTATCACACATAGGTGTAGTAAATAGAATAGAAGAAGCTAGGAACAGGCCAGTTGTTTGCCGCCATTAAAAAACCTTAAACAAGAAACAAATCTTTGTCCATCTACCAGTGCATCTCAGATCACTGGAATTGTTCATACAAGTGAACATACTTTTCAGAAGTTTGACATGTCTGTGTTGTAAATCCTTTCATTTTTGGATTGATCTGAGTAAATAGTCTAAGAATTTTGGATATCAATATCAAAACAAAAAAACTCTTGGAAAGTCTTTTCATTTTACATGTAAATAAAAAAAAAATTAAGATTTATCTTGAATAATCAAATTATGTGACAAAACCCACACAATAATTCACAATATTTGATTTGTTTGAGATGCACCTGTATAACAGAAAAATGATTGAGGTCTCCAGAAAATGTTTTCAATTGGGCATGTTGTAATTATTCTGCTATGTCAGCTGGTATAGGCCATGTTTAATGCTGTCTGGAGACAAAGTCAATAAAACCAGTCAGGGGTTTCCATCACCCATTATGCGAATGAACTTATTTTAGAAACAGTCAAAAATCACCTTATGCGAGCCTACAAGATCTTCTGCAAAGAAGAGGAACTTTTAAGAAAATATTTGTATAAACTTTTTAAATGGGATGCTTACAAAAATGCACATAAAAATAGTTATGGAAACACAGCTATTTCTATTCACCAAACAAAAGTAGCAGACTGAGCTGTCCGGCTCTGCCACTTATAGGTCAGGATGCTTTTTCATACGAATAGCTGCTGACAGAGCAGAAACAAAGCATCACCTGGTACTTCCTGGGTACGGCAATTTATTTAGGGTCATTACAATTAGACCAGAGAATATAAAATGGAAAGGGCCAAAAACAGTACTGCCCCCTTGCAAGAAGCGCCAATGTGTAAGCAGAAATGATGGTACACTGAAGACTCAAATATAGAAGTACCAGTGACAACCAGCTCAGGTTGAGAACTGTCCTTCAAATGGCTGCATTGAGTCCAAGGGTCAAAAAGTGTCTTCTGCTTTACACATTGTGACACTGAACTGCTTGTGTCCACGGAAGACGAGTAGTGAAAGAACTGTAACACTTTAAAATTGTATATTTTGGTATTTTATTAAAGGCACAAATGTTGTAGACAAAAAGGAAAAACACTGATGGAGAGATGAGGGGATGATATGCAGCAAAGGAACCTGACTGGAATCAAGCCTTGGCCTTAACCACACATGCTGCCAGGACACTTCATTGGAGACCTTTATCTAGATAGTCCCCTGATTGTAGGGGTCTAACAACACAAATAACACCATATAATAACAATATATTCAAAATCCTTTACAGTCAGTGACTGAAGTCTGTGACGCTATAATTTGGAAGACAGAAGTCTTGTTGCAGTATAACCATTGAACATTGCCTTCATTTTTTGTACAACAGGCATCAAATTACAGTCCTTTCAGTTTACAGTGTTGGTCTTTACATTCCACAACTTCTTTAGGAAATCATAGGAAACATTGGATCCATGAAACAAAGTGAAACAAGCTAATACTAATTTCCTAGCATACCTCCAGAGTGTCATGATTCCAAATGATGAAACAAAGATCTTTGGTATTTTTGTCAGGATCTGAGTCATTTACTGGTAAAACTGACAATACTCTACAGATAAAAACGATATCAACTGAGATTACTTAAAAAGTAACACCCAATTTAACCTGAAAAAATAAGTTTAAATAAAGTTTAAAGCTGCAACAAGACCCATGAGATTCCTTATCTGTGTTGTGCTATGAAGACAGACACATGCTGAAACTTAATGTGTTGCCTACAGGACACACTTACGCACACTATACACCTATACTGGTAACACTACAAGAAAGGGAACATGCATGTGTATGTACTTGTACTCACACTGCCACACTGTAACCATCTTTCTTTTTTTTGGGGCACAAAACTTCCCTAAACAGAAATGATTATATTTTAGTCAGAAGACTTGGTTAAATCTTCGGGCCATGGATTGGACAGCAAAGCAGGGTGGTGGCTCTTGTAAAGAAAGGGGTTGTATTTTTGGGATAAGTATTTTCTGTCAATAGACATCAATCCTCCATTAGTGCAGCCTCATGAATAAGTGATGCAGAGACACCAGGGGCAGACAATGGGGTAGTGCGCCCGCCCGCCC